TCTTTTCCCCCTTTTTCTTTGAACTGTATTTGATATCTTACAGTGAGGTTAGAGCATCTCCATGGGCTATGAGGTACAGCTCAGTAGATAATTAAGAATTCAGTTATTTTTTTCATTCAGAATGTGCTGGGAATTTTTGTTAGAATGTTATTAATACACATATTTTCTATTTCATTCCTCAACTGTCATTTCTCTTCCATTTAAGTCATTTAATCCAGGACCCTCCCCCACTTAACCTGCAGCTCTCTTAGACAAGAAGTGAGAGGGGAACCTAACTGTCTCCATTAGACACAATCTCCAATGTCTTCTCCCCTCCCTCATGATATTTGATTCTGCTGTTTTGACGGGAAGTGACCTTCTGCTAACCTTGAAGTGCTGTCCTAAGCCCTGGTATTATACTGTCTCCGTTTTAGCCCCTGCTTCATTTCTCTATCTGTAGCTATTTCAGACAGGTTCTTCTGAACATGGAGTAACATGCACTCCTCCGTGACTGGGAGCCCTAGTTTTGACATCCTCCTTCATATCTGACAAAGTAGAAGCCCCTCCAATGTCCCAGATGTCACCATGGATGTCCCCATGCAATCTATTGTTTGTCCTTTTTTGTTATTGTTGCTTTGTTTCGTTTTGAATTTTATCATGTTATTTGCTATTTTGGAGTCTTGACAGACTAAGTTTGTGAGTGGGGGTTGGGGTTGAAGGGATAAAGGTAGAGTGACAGAAAAAGACCTCTCTAAATCAAATATCAGACCTGGACTGGTGATGGGAAATAAAACCAGTGCTGCTGGAGGCTATTCTCTACCGTTTATTTCAGTGTGTTTACTTCAGACGTCTTGTGTTACATAAACAATGGTATTTGTGCTAGTAAATGATGCAGCAGAAGTTACTTCTGATAACTAGAGAGAGATGTGTGTGTTTATAGCTACCTTGAAACTTTAGATTTAGGCTAACCAGAGGGTAAGTGAGCTGGTTATAGTGGCAAGCTCTCGTAATCCCAGCATCAGGAGGGAAAGGTAGGAAGATGACAAATCAAGGCCAATCTGGGTTACTTGAGAAACCTTACTGCAGTATATAAGTTCCATCCCTTTACTAAGGGAGCAACAGCAATATAGATCTCTTTTTAACCTTTCCATTCTTGTCTTAAGAATAGAATAAGACAGGAATGGAAAGGTAGTTCACCAGTCAAGAGGACTTGATGCTTTTACAAAGGACTGAGGTAGGTGGCTTACAACCTAACTCTGGCTCCCAGTGGCGCTAAAGTCCTCTTCTGGTCTCCCTGGATATCCACATGCATTTACACATACACGGACACACATGTACACATAAATAAACAATAAAATATTTTAAAGAAGATTTAAAAGAGTAGGATAACAAACATGGAATAGAGAGAGGAAAGAAACAGATGAGGAAAGGTCACAAGGTCATGCTCTGTCGATCACTCCTTCACATGTGCCTTACCTAAGGTAGGTAGCTTGGTGAGCCCTGTATGACTCAGGGAGTTAAAGTTTGATAAGGAAATGGAAGGGTGGAGCTGGAGAGGTGGGTCAGAGTTTAGGGACATCGCCTCTCTTGCAGAGGACCTGGGTTCAATTCCCAGCACCCACATGGTAGCTGGTAGCCATCTGTAACTACAGCCCTAGGGGAGCCAACCTCCTCTTCTGGTCTCCAGAGGCCCTGCACACACATGGTGCACAAACATATGTGGATATAAAATACCCATACTCATAAAATAAAATCTCAAAAGATTTAAATAAATGGGTTTAGAGGGGGAAAAAAGACAGAATAAAGGAAAGGGAACCTGGGAATAGAGAATCTCATCCCTCTTTGTTTTCTAGAATCTCCTGGTGTTTGTTTCTATCTAGACATCAAGAAAAGCAATTTATACCAAATGCCTGAACCTACAGCTTTGAGATACACCCTGAGTAACAACTAAAGCATGTCTTCAAGACTGGATTAAGTGACAGCTTAGGCACTTAAGCAGCAGCAGTGTTTGAAGAACGTGGCATTTGGGAAGGGGTAGTTATGATGACACTCTTCTTAGTTTGTACTTGATTGGTTTTCCCTGCTGCACTCAAGTGTTCCTTGTCCATGATGAGGTCTCACCTCACCCTCAGTTAGAGCACAGATGTTCATGATGAGGTACCACCTGCCCTCAGAGCACAGGTGTTCGTGATGAGAAACCACCTGTCCTCGTGTTAGAGCACAGGTGTTCATGATGAGAAACCACCTGTCCTCCTGTTAGAGCACACGTGTTCATGATGAGGAACCACCTGTCCTCCTGTTAGAGCACACGTGTTCATGATGAGAAACCACCTGTCCTCCTGTTAGAGCACACGTGTTCATGATGAGTTGCCATCTGCCCTCCAGTTCGAGCACAGGTGTTCATGATGAGAAACCACCTGTCCTCAGAGCACAGGTGTTCATGATGAGGTACCATCTGCCCTCCAGTTAGAGCATTTGATGACTAGGACCAAGAAGTGTGATGGGGCCGGGAAAATCAGGACTGCAGGAAAACCTAGACAAGAGGAGAAGGCTAGAAAGAACAGGTGTTTAAGTCACATGTGACCTGTGAGATACCCTCTAGAACCTCCTCCACCTCTGTTTTGTAGACCTGATTCTTTTCTGTTTCTGCCAGTTTTCCAAAGGCTTGTTTTGACATTCCTCAGGTTGACTTTGGTGCCTTCAGTTGACCAGTTCTGTGCTTCAACTTTGTCCTGTCTTCCAGTGATTGCTTCATTAGCCTGGAGGTTCCAGTCCTCACTGACAGTTCTACTGCTTGGCCTTCCCATATTTAGCTTGCCAACTCATCCCCATCACTGGGAGCTGAATTTTACCTATTTGGACTTTGATTAGTTCTCCCAGCATTCATAAAGTTTGAAGAATTAGAGCCAGACTTGTATAAGTTCATGCTTCATGACATACTGTTTGCACCCAATATCTGTGTATGGGATGCTAAATTCCTGTGGAAAAGAGCAGAGGATATCCTCGCCATAATGAAGTTTGAGGTCCTATCCTCATTGGATAAATTAATGTAGATTCTAAAGACTCCAACTCCTGACCCCTGAGATATGCCTAGAAGATGTTTGAGGTACCCAGATGCACTCTTGTGTAAGGAAAATTTGTGTGGATGCTGTGGCTGCTTGGGAGAGTTTGAATGCCCAGAAAAAGAGGCAGACCGGTTTATTCTATGCATGTGTGAATGAAGCTGAGCTAAATCTCATCCTGGTTAATGTGTCTTGTGCCAAGATTCTCCAGTCTCCTCGAAGAGTTAGCAAAGCTTTACCCAATTCCCTCCATTCTTAGATGAGAGCTAACACATGTGGCTCACCTTAGTAAAATGTGCAAACGTGTACATGGCCTTCAGTGAAGAGGGAATACTGGAGCAACCTTATCCCATGCAGAGAACCTGATCAGGTCATTGCAGCTACCTCCCTCTGGTGCTGTTCTTCTATAAACAGGAACAAGAATTCTTCTTGCCACTAGATCCCTCTTGTCAGGTGGCTTAGGCTTGCTGAATGAAAAGCCCTGTGAAAAGGAGATGCAGCCCTAATAATAACAGACACGATCCTGTTGGCTATTCTGGGCAAGAGCGGCTTTGTGCCGCGCTTGATCTCCATCAATGCCTGCCATTCTTGCCCTGCTGTTACCTTTGGACTTCCTATTCTTAGAATCATTTGTGAGCCCTGGGCTTGGGGGATTGTAGCCCCCAGGACTGGAATGCCCAGCTTGAGTGGAATGCAGACAGTCTGACAGAATGAAGGTTAAATAAAGTTTGCCTTGTCAGCCCCTCTTCTCCTGGATAGATGACAAGTAATTTGGGTATAGGAGCAATGGCATGAGTTATCATGTAGTGTAGTCCCAAACAGCCTTTTGTATATAGGTGCTAGTGGTGGATGGTCCATATATGACCAGCATAGCCATGCCAGGCTTCAAGGAGATGCATACTAAGGAGGCCTCTACAGTGACTAGGTATCACTAGGAAAAAAAATACAGAAACAAAAAGAATAACCTTTGAGGTTTTCAGCTTATTCAGAATTAGCTTATTTGCTCCTTAGAGTTACTGAATCATGTTTGAAAGCAAAACAAAGGGAAAAGCCTTCATAGTTGTGAAATCAGATAGGCAACAAACATTTCTTGAGCCGCAGGTACTTCGGGAAATTTTTAAGAAGTACAAGACATCGAATTCTTGTGGTATTGACAGTCTAGTTAGGACACAAAGCTATAAACACATGGGAAAGGAATCCATATGCCAGAGTATGTTAGCTACACACCTTTGCACCAGCACCAGGTGCCAGAGGAGGTGTCAGGAGGAGAACACTTCAGCTGGGCTTCTCAAGGAGGGTTTCAGGTAATGTTTACATGAGGCTTTGAGGAAGCAGAGAAATAAGGCTTGAAGCAGTGTGTAGGTGTACAACATTCTGAAGACAAAGACCTTGCAGGCCCCTGACTATACCAGAATGGCTGGGGATAAGAGTAAGAGGTTGTGTGAAAATCGCCAACATCTTAACTCCAGGGCAGTGTGTACAGGAGAGATGGAGATTCTGGGTATAGCCCTGCTCCAAGATTGGGGCCTGTTAGCATTTTCTCTACAAGTACCTAGTGTAGTATTACCACAGTTGCTTGTTGAGGTGGCTTGGTTTCCATCATGAAGGCTACTGCTGACTCTGGCTACCTACATGAGTTATGCTGTCAGTCTATCAGGACCACTCTAAGAAAATATAGAGGTTACCGTAAAGCTTGTAAACAATGGAATCTGCTTCTCACCCTTCTCAAGACTGAGAAGTCAGGGTCCAGGCACTGTAGACTTGGACATATGCCTACAATTTGGCTCCCAGACTTCTGTCTCATTCCTATATTCTTACATGGTAAAAGGGGAAACTCCTGTTTTGGAGGCTTAGGTCTCTTGGGATTTCAGAATGTGAGTCTGAGAGGAGAGCAGACATCTAGCCCATTGCCTTGAAAACGCCTGACTTTTCCGAGCTTTCTTCTCTCTTCTCCCACAGGTGGCTAGAAGTACAGGTGGCTAATCTAACATGTCCCCAACGCTGGGTGCAGTACCTCCGGCTTCTTCGGGAATCTATCTGGCCTGGTGGAGTGTTGCCCAAGTTTCCACGGCCTGGAAGGACTCAGGCACAGAAAGCAGCTACTGAGAAGCAGGCTTTGCAGAGCTTGATGAGTATCCTGCCAGGTAATGAGACTGGCAAGATGGTGGTACTGGTGATGTGTATTCTCTCCTCCCGTCCTGCTTTGCCAGTGATGCCTGACACCCTTCCCCATCTCCAAAAGGGTGCTCTAAGTCCCATTGCTCCAACTGATGAGAAGATGGTCACAACTGTGATTCTCTCATCCCTCCCTCAGTGGTGGCAAGGGAATGGAAGGATCACTTTGGCCACAGATACTAAGGGACGGTCCTGCAGATGTGTGGTTTTAAAACTGTGGGGCAGTTTTCAAAAAGCTGTTACTGCAACAGCAGCTGTCAGCACCATTCCCACCACGTGACGATGCTGAGTCTCTGCTAACTCCTGGTGTTTGGGGACCAGAGAAGAGCATGATATATCCTGTAGCACTCATATTTGATTGATTGTGTCCTTAGTAAGTAAGAAAGGTTCTTCCTTCTCTTCTGTTGTTTTTCAGTGGCAGGGAAAGCAATTTGTTGCCTGTGGCTGTGGTAACCAAGGAAGAGTAATAAACTGGGCTCTGGACAATCCCCTTGAGTTACCGTTTCTCCAACCTGAATGATGACCTCAAAAATATCTCTGCACCTTTGTGGCAGGTTACAAAGCCCTCTTGAGTCTCATTCTTAGATACATATTCTTTTTTTTTCCAAGACAGGGTTTCTCTGTATTGCTTTGGAGCCTGTCCTGGAATTTGCTTTGTTGACCAGGCTGGCCTTGAACTCACAGAGATCCTCCTGCCTCTACCTCCTGAGTGCTGGGATTAAAGGCATGCGCCACCATCGCCCGGTGTAGATACATATTCTTAAAAACCTTATTTTTCATGACTTTTCTCTGTTCTATGATATTTTCATTTGGCTCCGTACTTAAGGCTATTCTAGAACTAGCCAGTCTATGAGATGGCTGAAGTCCTGGGAGATGTTCTTTGATTGTAAGGCTGCAGTAGTAACTCAACTGTCTTATTTGGTTTTCTCCTTCAGATTTTTTAGTAGAAATCCTGGGGGTGAACAAGTGCCGGCTGAGCTGGAGTCTAGTCTTGGAATCATTCCAGCAACCCCTAATCAACAGGTAGGCTGGAGTGTGCAATACCCAACATAGTGTAGAAAAAGCTCTTCGCTGTCACAGGTGGCAAGGTTGGTAAATGCAGAGCCCACTATTAGAATAGGTCTGCACTTGACTTATGCTGACCGAAGGGTCCGGTATTCAGATACTGCACATACTCAGTGAAAGCCGTGCTGCCAACTTCTGAGCAGGTGACTTTGTTGTAGTAAGCGGCTAGAGGACCAGCCCCTGTTTGTATTTTGAAAAACTCAATGTAGACCCCAGCAAGAGCTACTGAAATTGCTCTGTTAACCTCCAGGCAAGAACAGACCTTGTGACTCAATTTCATAAAATACCATACTTTTTACACAATTGCATTAGCACTTTAGCACTATACTGAAGAAGTATACTCGATGGTTTTTCCCAACATTTGTCAGTCCCTGTGTCAGGAGCATGCCCTGGCCTGTGCAGTTCAGGCTACATGATGTCTTCCACTACAGTTTCCCAGCCTCACAGCAAAGCTGTGATTAGTATTGAGATCAGAAATTGTCATTATTTAGTAGGATATATTCAGAATAGTAAGAGTTGCATCATATAAAAGAACTAGAACCTAGAAATTTCAGGAGATAGATATCATCTCTAAAGCAGGAAGGCTTTGGGAAAGTATCAAGTACCTTTGCTCCTGCCTTCTCAAGCCTCCACCAGTGTCTAATGTCTCAACTCTCAAACTTGAGGACTCTGTTCATGGGCAGTAAATTCAGTGATCCATCATTAGGAGCACCAGTTGGCTGTAATGACATCACAACAGTTCTTCCCAGGTTCTGCAGAGCAGTGCATGTGCACTGATGTAACTGCAGAGACTGTTGTTTTGTACAGTCCAGTCTCCAAGACCATTCTTGTCTTCATTGAGCTGTAGCTTTTAGTAGTACAGTGCACATTGATTCTACCACAGCTGTGCTATGGACTTGGCAGCTTCTAGTAACAGTTAGGCTTCTTAGAGTTCTCTGTAAGGTGAGAGCTATGTGAGGCGGGCCCTCTTCTCAGTTGGTTGTTCTGTCCATTTGTTTCAGACATTTGATTTACTGTCTTGGAGACATCATCCTGGAGTTCTTGGACCTTGGTGCCTCTGTTAAAGAACCTGTCCCAGCCACCTCTGCCTCAGACTCCCCAGGCAACCTCAAGAGAATGGCAACCTCTACTTAGATCATTCACACAGTCTTCAAAGGCTTGAAAAAGAGAGCTTTTCAACCACCCAGAGACTGATTAAGATGCCTGTGCCCTCTGGAGCTAGGCTACCTTAGCTGGCCTCCATCTCAGTGGCTCAGTTCTCCTTCAGGTCTCCTTTAGTAACAGGTGATGGGGATATAGAGCCCAATTGCATACATATGTGTTTCCATAGTCTTATGGCATGTGGACTGCTGCTGGTGAGGAGGTCTTGTTTCTTTGGGAAAGGAAATTATGAAGCAGAGGTTTCTCCTTTGCATTCTTCTCAGCATCATGGTTTGCCAACAGCATGGCTCTGTGCATGCATACACCTAATCCACATATGCACAAGCATTGGGTAATATAAGAGAAAAACTATAGCCAGATTTCCTGAAAGGAGAAATAGCCTCCTGAGCTCTCTTTTCCCACCTGGAAACTAAACATTCATTCAGGAGCACTCCCTCACCCTACCTAGTTCCACAGCAGTTCCAGAAGAGGTAAGGAAAGTGTGTCTCAAGGGACTTCTTGCTCTCTGGCTATTTTCTTACACAGCGGCCCTCTAGAGGATGTCAGGAATGTTGCTTCCTCAGCTGGCTATACTTTTCCTGTCCCGAAGGTTTCAAAGCACACTATCAAACTTGTGGTAAATCCACCCCACCCTTCATACCCTTTCCTGCAAGGGATTACACCACAGAGTTTCTTAACTCTCCTCTCATCTCCTACCTAAGAGCACATGAGTTTTGGATTTGTAAGTTTGCCTCTGTCTTAACAGAATTACACAACAAGTTAGATATTCAGCCTCAGTGTTTCCAGTGAGAAAGGAAAGTACTTGTTCCATGGCTGAGGGTGTACAAAGGATAGAAGTAGGGAGGCTAAGTGGAAATCCTTTCATAAGACTTTGGCAATAACTCTTTATTCTGAACACATAATGTAGCAAACTTACAGGATATAGATTTTACTTCCAGATCCCTAAAGGTTGAATTTCTTATGAGCCCAGTGATAAAAGCAGTAGTGCCCTATGCCCATTGAAAACACGGAACAACTCAGAGGAACCTTTAGAAGAAAGAGTTGGAGGGAAAGTCACAAGGGAAAGGCTGCTCCCAGGAAACGCATGAGTTGCTGGCATTCACATGGTACCAGTAGGAGAACATAGTCAACCCCCAGCTCATTAGTGTCTGTGTAGCTCTAGTCCGAATTTCCCTGAACTACAGGATCCACATGGAAGGGAGTCTTGAAGGAAGACTGGTGAGAATGGGGTGAAGCATCAAGAGCCAGCATCACGATTTTCCAGACTCTGAAGTATGTGATGAGCACACAATTAAAGTTGTTAATAGAAAAAGGTTGTGAAATCGTTGCTCTCCTGCCCTGAGAGGCTCGTAAGCATACATCACCCTCTGATGTGACTGAGAGGCTTAAGATGCTGCTCTTGCCAAAAGGCAAGAGGTGAATGAGCTAAAGTTTCATGGCCTCGTCTGGCCTTGAAGCATGACTTGATGGCTCCAAAGTTCTTGAAGTATCCCCTTCTCTTGGCCCTCAGAGGCAGAGGTAACTCTATATGCTGTACTCTGAGTGCCTCCCAAGGTATGGTTCCAGGGGACACCTGGGATCTGCTCCTGCAGTAAGGACCACTTTATTCTCTTTTGGTAGAGTGAGAAATCCCGATCTCTTGAACTCTTCTCTCCCCACATCCACCCTCCACATATCCATAGCCACCTATGTCACTTTGAATCTGTGTACACATGTACTGGTAACCCAGAACATCATGAGTTCCCTATGGCAGTGAAGTCCAAGGGATCTTTTCATGCCTGCTGCCCAGAGAACTTCCTTACATTTGATTTTATGTACAAGACCCCATTTTTACTCAACCTGCCCCCAAAAGGTAAGCTATCCACAAGAGGAAAATGGTAAAGATAACCAGGGAGATCATCAAAACACATCTGGCTTTGGGAAAGACCTGCCAAGTTTGAGTAGCATGTTCAGACCACGTAATCATCAGCATTTGGGAGTGTCAGGATGATGCTCTAGGTTGGGAGAATGAAAAACTGAGCCCACACTGATCTGCTGCTTTTCTCTCCTTTTTGTTTGTTTATTTACTCTGGCTCTCTTTGTGATAAATTTACTTGTTTAATTCAAAATATTAATATCTGAAATAAGACCAACACCCTTTCTGCCTTGATTGTAGATCTAGAAAAAGATGAAGGATGGGAGGATACTGTCAAACTCTAAATGTGATCCTTGCCATTATTTATTAAAGTTCAAGAAAGCTGTATTTAATTATATAATGCTATATAGCTATAATAGTCCACAATTTTTGTTTTCAAGATTCTGGATTAAGTATGACAGAACTTAGAAGTAAAATGCACTCCTAGATCCAAGCATAAGAAAATACTCAAATTTAATATTAACAGAAGTAACCCTGACTTCCCTTTTGAAGTTTCCAATATACTATGATTTTTTGTTATAAGAGTACCATGGAAGGCCGGGTGGTGGTGACCCATGCCTTTAATCCCAGCACTCGGGAGGCAGAGGCAGGCGGATCTCTGTTAGTTCGAGGCCAGCATGGTCTACTGAGTGAGTTCCAGGACACTCTCCAAAACAATACAGAGAAACCCTGTCTTGAAAAACCAAAAAAAAAAAAAAAAAAGTGCCATGGAGTTTTGCCTTTAAACACTGTTGTACACCACATCTCTAGAAGGTTTCCATCATACATAATAACTATAACTTTATACTCAGTGAAAAGCAATCTCTCCTGTCCCCTGCAGGGTGGTGGTAGTAGACTGGATGGTCACCCATTCCACTTTCTGTGTATGTGAATCACACTTGCAGTGTGTGCCCCATGACTGGCTTATTTCAATTAGCATTATGGTTTCTGGTTCGTCTTTGTTGCAGCATGTGAAAATGCTCTTTTAGACTCAGCAGTTCTGTTTTATGGATATACCACATTTTCTTCATCTATTTTCCAGAGGTGGACATCTAGGCTGTTTTCATTTCTTGGTTAATGTGAACACAATGGGAAATGGCAGTGCAAGCATTTCTGTGGAACCCTGCATTCAATACTTTTAAAGTACCCAAAAGTAAGATTGCAAGGCTATATAATCATTGCATTTTACTTTTTGACTAAAATTACTGTTCTGTGTAGCAGCTGCATTTCTACCAATAGTGCACAGAGGTTCCAATGTCTGAGGTGCATGCACTCACACGTTTAGTAATGCCTCCTTCACACATGCGGGGTGCTGCTTCACTGTGGTTTTGAATCCAGACCTTCTAGAGTCCTGCTTTGCCTTGCTTGACCCATTCATTTCTTCCTTTGCTCTCAGCACCTAAGAGTTGTTGGGTCCTAGGTGGGGTGACAGTGTGTAAATGTGTGGCTGTATGAGCTAGAGTATTGTGGACAGGATTAAGTTGCTAGGAACATGTGTTTTCTTCCACAAAGGCACTGCATAAGTAAATGAGTCCCAGGGGTTCATTGATTCAACAACTTTGGGACATCACAAGACCTGTTTTTGTTAGAGTTGTTGTTTGTTGTTCTGCTCTTGTGTCCTAAACATTTTAGGTCTGTCCTGAGACAACCCCCCCCCCATCCATGCTTACTGTGCTTCCTGACAACTCATCCAGACTGACTGTCTGAAAGGTAGGGCATCTCTTTCAAAGAATGAGGGATCCATCCAGGGACCCCTCCAGGAATCTTCTTACTCATTGCCCCCACCCACAATGCTAGATCAATCACATTATGAATGGTTGGCTTGCAGTAGTACTTACTCCCAAGGATATGACAACTATTAAATGAAGGTCAGACAAATAAAAGAACAATTTATTAAGGAAGACTCAATGAGTGTGCATTGATAGACATTGTCTCCCTAGGGATTCATTCTGCCTGTAAATCTCCCATGGAAGTCTAAGAGCTGCCATTTGTTGAGGTCATTGCTTGAAGCATTTTGTATATATTATCATTTAACTCAGGAGTCAACACCATGAGGTAAGTTCTGCCATGTTCGTATTTTATACATGTGGAGCATGACGCACAAGTTGACACATGACCTATCAGTTACTTGCAGGAAAGTGACAGAGCCTAGATCCAAGTGTCAGCAGTCTCTCTCAAAGCATACGTACTCAGCTGCCTTTTTGACTTACCAAGCAAAATCTGACCAGGTTCTCCGTTTTTGAGAAGTCTCTCGCCTAATCCAGTAGACAGAGAGCTTCTGTAAAGGATCAGAAAGCAAATGTTTCAGTCATTGTGACTGCATCCTCAGCTGTAGCCACTCAGTTCTTCCATGGTAGCATGAAAACAGCCACCAACAGTTCATAAATAATTGAAGCTGTGTTCCAGCAAAGTGGGAATTAAACATGGGCAGCTGGCCAGATCAGATCCTTGAGTGGTAGTTTTCAGACCCAGTCCAGTGAGTTACAGGAGTGCTGCTCAAACTGTTGTGCCGGAAATTCACCTGCAATCTTGTAAAAATGCAACATTTGCCTTGGTAGTCGGATGAGACCCAGTAAAAATACAAATGTCATTCTATGAGATGTTGACGACATAACTCCCACGCCTTTCCTGAGGAGACAGGTGAAGGGCTTCCTTAAGGGACCCCACCAGCACCTGTCATATGTCTTTTCTACCACAGCAATATGACTTTCCCCTGGCTGAAGACTAGCCTGTCCTGGATAGGAAAGGGATGGGCACCAGGAAGAGCTGGTCATTGGCAAGAAGAGGAACTATGATGCTTTTGCAGTTGAAGACCCAGCTGAACAAGCTTTGCCATAATTTGGCCTCCTGTTTCCTTTCCACTGGAAATGCCAGAAATCACAGGACAGTCATTCTCACTGCCTTTGTGGAAAAGAGAATGAAATCATTGAAGGGTGAAGTTCAGCTAGCAAGCCTGTATCACTACTTTGAGGTGAGATACTGCTACAGAAAAGGCGGGGGGGTGGATTTCTCAGGAGAGCATCATGAGGGAGGCATTATCCCAGACAACATTCCACAGCCTGAGCCTTACCTGAAAGTTCCCATTGCATAGAGACATCTCTCACTGCCCAGGGCAATTAAGTACTGTTCTTGCATAGAGGTAATTTTCCAGCATTCATATCAGGCAGCTCACAAATATGCCTGTAACTTCTGCTCCCGTAGATTCAACAGTGTCTTCCAACTCTGCTGGCACCCACACTCCATGTGCATTCTACCACACAGATACCCACATACACACATAATTTAAAAATCTAAACCCAAAAGAAAGTTCAAGCACCATGACAGAAAGGAATGAAGCTCATGAGGACCTGTTTCTGCAATGAGGGGGCAGCAGTGAATGGGCAGATTCTGCTGAGGTGGCAGGGAAACCATGGACACCATGTCACCTGGCAGACACAGAGCTATTCTCACACTAGCTGTGTCTGCCCACTGCCTCCCCATTACTCCTTGCCTGTATCTAGTTCAAAGATCCGTGTCAACTCTGCTTCTTTGGACACAGAACAAGCATGCAGCAGGAGGGAGAGAATGATTTCGATGTCTCCTTGCCAATATGACATTGGATTTCTCCAAAGACCTCCATTCTGCCCTTCCCTGCAGGCATGTCTATAGAAGTCATGTTGTAGGCTCTGAAATGTCAATGGTTGGGGTGGGGTGAGGGAGAATGAAATTTTAAAAAAGGAAGAACTGAATCCAAATACAAATGTAGAGAACATGGCTTGCTTCTTGAGACAAGGTCTCTTTGTAGCCCAGGCTAGTTTGAACTTATGACTCTTCCTCCTGAGTTTCCAAAGTGCTCTGATTATAAGTATCAGGCCCAGCCAAAAAACATTTCCTAAAGTAATGTTATCTACTTTGTCCAAAGTAGACCCCGTGATCACTAATCAGTGCTTGTTTAGGGAATACAAGCTATTCTAGTACTAAAGTGTTACAGTGGTAGACAATAAGTCTATGTGTGAATAACCCACACTTGGGCTTTTGCCTTCTCCCTCACTCCATGACACCACTGCTCTCAGTTGTTACATGCAAGGGAGAATTGGCTATGATTACCCCAGAGACTTTAATTTATGAGGGTGAAAACCAAGCACAGAGGTCTCTGAGAACGAATAAATAGACTACGGGCCTGTAGAAATGGCTCAGGGGTTAAGAATGCTTGCGGCTCTTCCAGAGGACGCAGTTCAATTCCCAGTGCTCTAGCTGTGCAGCTTACAAGCACCTACCTGTAAATCCAAGGGATCTGATGACCTCTTCTGGACTCTGAGATAACTACACTCACACACACACACACACACACACACACACACACACACACACACAGATATACATGCACATAATTAAAAATCAAATGTTAAAAAGAAGACTAGTCAACAGAAGCTCTGACCTGCCTATATGTGTTAACTTGAGTTTGGAGACCTGTACCAGTCCACTGACCCCTTGCTGTCAGCCATCCTGTCCTCACAGTTATTAGAAAGATTAACTTGAGAATGTATAAAGTGCCTGTCACCAGGATAAGTAGACTTTGCTTAGGGAGGGAAATCTCTTCTAGAATTTACACAGTGTATCAGGACAGCTCCTGTGAGGTATGCAGCAGTATGAGAGCAGGCTAGCTCCTTTTCATCTTCATGTGATGAAGGTAAAACGCAACCTTCTATTTAGGAAAACAATTCTTTCCAGTAGAGAGAAGGCATCTTTCATTAAGGCTTCCTGGGCCACTGGAAGAGTCACAGACTTGCTTGGCAATAGGGATGGAATCTATTATGGAGATGATGGAGGCAGGGGCTTAGGTAAGAAAACTTTGTAGAAATCTTGTGGTCAACTTTCTGCCTCAAAAAGCCATGCTCATTTCTGATTCTTTATACCCTGTCCCCCATCTTGCTTTCGTTTCCACTGGGGACATTACCTGATTACCTTCCCACCTCTGTGTGGGTGCGTGGCTTCCCTCCACCTGTCAGGACCCATTCAAGTTCCATCTTCTCTAATAAACATTGTGTGATCTTCAGCCAAAACTTTCCCTCTCCCTCAGGGTTTACATTGCCTCTGCAGTCAAGTCACATATACATAATGCCTTCCATAGTTATTTGAGGGCAGTTAGCACATGTATCTCTTTTGTTCCCATTATATCCCTATGGCTGGCTGACTGGCTGGCTATATATCTTTCTGTGTGTATATACATTTGTGACACCTATACCATACGTGGGTGTGTGGGTGTGTGTGTATCAACTGTGCCATATATATGGCATATTTGGTTATATATATATATATATAATAGTATAATAAGTATGTGGCGTAGTTGATACAAAATAAGTAAAGAATATATTTGTTGTAAATTTGATGTAAAACATGAGTCATTCTAAATAATTTTCAAGAGACTCTTAGAGATAGATGCAGAAACAAAAGAGGGTGGTAAATTTTCATTGTTAAGACCTTATTATGCCCTTATTTACAGCAAATATCAAGCATCAGAAGTCTATTCTTATATTTCCTAAGCAAGAAGCCATACAAGTTTAGGATGTACTGTGGGCAGTGTATGTATATGGGTCACATAAGGTTCAAAAACTGTGATCCAGGTTGGGCTCAAAGTTAGTGGTCTTCCTGCCTCTGTCTCCCAGAGCTGGGATTACATGCATGTGTTACCATTCTGCCACCCCCCCAAAAGAAACCCTTAAGCTCTTCAAATGAAAGGATCCTGCCATAAAAAATTCCTTTTAAAGTCATCTGATCATAAAATAGACAGCATCCCTACTGACTCCCTCACTTGTACTTATTTCACGTCATCAAGATCAGAAAAAATGCTACGTCTACCTAAAGAAAACATCATGAGCACCTTCCCACACCAGACTATCTGTAAAGAATGCTGCTACCAAGAAGAGACAATAAAGAATTCTGCTTCAGCTCACTATCTGAATTCCTTAACCCTTTCCTTGAGTTCTTTTGGCTCCAAGTTTAAAATCTTGTCTTAAGCACCTCAACTGGTATCTAAGCAATGCCTCTGGTGCCATACAAGAAACCCTCCAAAGTTGAAGTAATTTTTTAAAGGGTGTTTGCTGTCTTCTATACTGTGTTTGCTGTTGTAGCTGTGTATCCAAACCCAGATCAAAATGAGTCTGCTCTCATAAGAATGAAAACTAAGGACCCAAGCTCTCTGTAGGGACAAGGGTACCTGTTTCTGAGTCTGCAGCACCAGGTGGTCTACAGCCACCAGGCCATGGTGGGAAAGATGAAAGAGCAGGTGGAGGAATGAAAAAGAAAGTTCAACCAGAGAGTCAAGGCAATATTGGGTTTCATAAAGGGAATCTAGGCACCTCAGTGCTTGGGTTATGTTTATACTTGTGCAAAGCGTGCATCTTCCGTGGAATAAGACCTGTTCCTTGTTCCAGGGCACATTTGCACAACACATGATGTAAAATAGTATGGAGCCAAGGCTGATTCTGTATCCACCCCTGGGGCAGATTGGTCATTCTCCAGTGTAAACCTCCTTGGGATTAACCACTTATTCCAATGGAGAGCACTGGATAATTAATCCCAGACCTGCCCCAGCCTACTCTGAATGTCTTACATATGGGTGAGGGAGGACACATAAAGTTTCCTGGGCCTATTTGGATGAGGTAGGGAATCTGCTGTTCTAATATATGAAAGGAGAGTGTGTGGCTTGCACAGATGCAGCCATGTGGGGAGCATATGCATTTATAGAGCAGATCAGAGGGGAATGGTGTGCATTGTGACTCCAACAGCAATGCATGTGAGCTCTCTGCCTGCCAGCAATGGAATTATGTCCTTCCTTTTAATATTCTGGAGAGACTGAGGCAAGGGCTTCTGTTTTAGCAGCTCTGGATCCTGCATCTTAAGAAGAATTGCCTACTGTAAG